AAACAAAAATGGGGTATTCATTGACATAATGAGAACAATTTACCCCTGTAGATTAAATAAAAGTTTCAGTTCAGAATTCCATGAATGCTACCCAGCTTAACAGACACCTGAAGAGGGCTAGAGAACACAATGTCTGAAACATTATGATAGTAACAAAGGACATTAGTCAGATTATAAAAAAGGTAAATAATTCTTTATAACTGCTCAGAACCATGGTGAAAATATATTGTCATATTTTATTAAAAATATACTTTATCTTCTTCAAAAAGAATCTGCTTGTCTCGCAGTCTTTCAGAAACATGTTTGAGGTTGTTTGCATGACAAAAATTCAAAAGATGAAGAGTCAGATTGATAATTTTTTTTTAATGTTTTCAAATCATCACTTAAATGTTTAATATTATGCTATGCACTAGGTAAATAAAAAATTTGCAACACTATAATTCAACAATTTTAAAGTAGGTTGTATTAATTACATGATTAAAGTAAAGTTTATCAAATGGTGTGAATGTGCTTTTCTGGGAACACCTTAATAGATACAGTTATCCTGAAAAGACAGACATTACCAGAAAAAAAAATGAAACAATAGCAGACATACTAACAATACATTCTTTGGAAATGAAGAATTTATTTTTCTAATTTGATAAAGTAAAATAGTTTAGCAGAATAGTGATTAATAATTTATTTTTAGCACAAATTTCTTTGATAAAGTGAGACTGACAGTACAAATTTATTTGTATGTACACACACACACACACATACAAATACATACGTACATATGTACATACATAAGGCTAAGCTCTATTTGAAAGCTAAATTCAAACATCTTTGGTTTTATAAATCTTATCAAATAAAACATTTTTTTTGTTTTCAGAATTAGAAAGAGATAAGTAACAGGGGCAGAAAGAGAGAAAGAAATGAACAGACGAGGAGAGAGGGAGAGATTCAAAATGACAAGGGCCAGAGAGAGAGAGAGAGATAGAAACTGAGAGTGCCAGAGAAATATAGATAGATACAAACAGATGGAGACAGATAATTCTAAATATCAGAATTTTTAATGTCTCCTTAGGCTGATAATTTTTTAGCACTCACTTGTGTCTGTATATAAACACTTATGTATATGATTATATTGTATTATCTTGAAGAAAATACAAATTCAAATCTAATAAACAATTATTTTAGAACCATTAAGGAAAGATTCTTTTGAACTAAATGTTTCTAATTTGGACTTCAAATAAAATTCTGCCAACATCTGAATCAGTTGCTATAGTTTGAAAAGATACACTTTTCTTAGATTTATAGACCAATCAAAATCTTTCTCAAAAAACATCTGATTAACCTTTATATAAAGAATGTTATCCACTAGTAAAGCCAAAGTTAAGTCGCTTTTTGGTTCTCTCTGAGCCAGGTGTGTGTATATATATATATATATATATATATATATATATATATATACATACACACTAAACACCTAAATGAAAAGTGTCAGCTGTCCACTTTGTAACCTACCCATATATATATATATATATATATATATATATATGTATGTGTGTGTGTGTGTGTGTGTCTGTGCACTAAACATTTGCATGACTTACTTTCTTCAATAACTGACTGTAAATTTTTGTTCACTAAAAAATTTCATTTTACAGTGTCATCAAAGATGATTTTGTATCATTTGTTAAAAATATTTCAACTGTTATTGAAATCACAATTTTTATCTTCTCGTTCTTTTCTTCACACACTGTTTGAATTTAATTTCACACTTTGTTTTCACTCAGTTATCACAAACCTATATTTTTGTTAGTGGAAGACAATTTATCTGCAGTCAGAATTTAGTGACTGCCAATTCCACCACAATATAAACTTTATTTAGATACCTCCACAGAATCGCTAAAAATGAGCATACATGATGAAAAATGCAAGTTTTTTTATTAGTAAATTATATTTTTTTATCCTCTTTAGGATATTCGAAATTTTGGTTAAAAATTTTGTCTTTCTGGCATCAATAAATTAGTATAGGAAATTTTAGCATCTTTTTTTGTAGTGATAAACACATTGATTTGGAAATTCTTGCAAAAATCAAATAATAGTCGGATTTTAATGAAACAGTAAGGACTTATCCACAAATGAATGAAATCTTAGAAATGTTTCTTTTTTTAAAAAAAAAAAATCATTGTAAAATTACTTTTTAAACATGTTACCTATCCCCCTTTTACTGATGACCATGCATTCTGTTTTCTTAGTAAAAGGATGAGTCCAAAATGTGATTTGCAGGTCGGGGGACACTAAAATCAAACATGTACCGAAGTTTAAGTATCTGGGAAGTGTTCTGACAGAAGACGGAAGGTGCGACACTGAGACCCAAAGATGGATTGGGATAGCCAAGGATGCATTCCAAAAGCTGGGCAGAGTATTGCAAGACAGGAGGATTTCTATCGTGACAAAGAAGAGAGTACTGAGTTGTTACATGACATCTGTCCTATATGGCAATGAATGAAGAAGAGACTGAAGGTGATGTGGTTCTACAGAAGTACGCTGAGAAATATCATGGACCGAGCATGTGAGCAACAATGAGATCTTGGAGAGGATGTAAACAAGGAGGAAGCTTATGCTTAATATAAGGAAGGGGCAGATGAGATTTCTGGGACACATGATGAGAAAGGAGGGCCTGGGGAATTTGATACTCACAGGACAAATAGAGGGAAAAAGAGACAGGGGAAAGCAGTGCATGACATACGTGGCAGGCTTGGGCAGGTGGATGATGGAGCATGGCCTGGGGAGTCTTGGCAGAAAAACAAAACCTGTTAAGAGCCACAAGGGATGGGAGGGAAGAGGAGGGCTATGATCGCCTACATCCTGAAAGGACACAGCACATAAAAAGAAAAAAGAACTTATTCCGCACCACTCATTTATTTAATTTTATGAAATTTCCAGAAATTCATTTTTGTACTGCTTAATGTTTATATTAGTTATACACAGAACTCGTTGAAGAATTTCAATCATCAATTTTTTTTGTAAAACAGGAACACCAGTTATTGAAAAAATGCAATAAAACTAAGATATTTAATTAGGAGAACTTCTAATTGCTTTTTTGAATAAGATATATTATGGACAGTATTGTCTTAAATTTTTTTTGATAAATAATGAATTTTTACAAGAATTGTTTTCATATTTTTTAAATTTTAATTAGAATAATTTAGAAAATTTTAAATCTTTTAAAACTCTGTATTAATTTGTACCAGTTAGGTGATATTGTTATTAAATAAAAACTATATTTACTAATCATAAATGGAAAACATTATTACAATTCAGTGACCACCAGTATTTTAAAAAGGATTTTGACTTCTTTTGTGTGTGGTGTGTACAAACATGTCAATTTTTGTAAATACAGATGACTATAAACAACATTATCAGAAAATAAGATCAGGTAACTAGAGTAAATTTAAAATCAAAGTATCTAAAATTCAATAAAACAGATTACAGATAATATTTTCCTACATTTTTAAAATTATTGAGTAGTTAAAAATTATAAAAAGGCACTCACATTATATTCCTCAAGTAATTTTTACAGTTATGTCCCCCATCGAAAAAAAAATTAGATAAAGTTCTAGCTGTCAATCTGTCAACCCCTAATCAAAACACCTACCTTTGTGTTAAAAAAATGCATTTCTTTGATATTTTAAACTAAAAGTCAGTAATACAGAGTGCGATGGATAAATTGTCATCTAAATTACACAAAAATGAAAATAAAACTGATATCTCATTTTAACAGATATATTTACCAAAATTACACAAAAATATCTTGAAATACTAAAGAGTAAATTTATTCAATAAAAATTACCACAGCCTCCAGACAACTTCAGAATCTCTTGCAACTCTTCTGGACTCTTTCCTTGTTTAAGTTGGTGAATGCTGCCATAATCCTTGCCTGCAGCCTGAGGAGTTAGGTGGCCAGATGTAAGGGGTGATTTGATTGTAGAAATTGTCTGACAGCCATGACTGGGTTCACCTGCTTGTGAAGCATGGTGCATAGTCCTGTTGCCAGACAGAAGGCCTTCTAGCAGCAGCCATCCACCCAAGGCAGCACTACCTCCTCAAGTCACTTGATGTAGGCTTTTGTGTTGAGTCCAAGGCACTATAGGAAGTTGAATAGAGGCATAATGTCACCACTAGTGATTATTCCAAACACCTTCATAATCACCATTAGACTCAGCCAACACTTTCCTCAGATTAACACCCAAAAACTCTGAAATGTTGGTATTGGAGCTTCCAATGAGAATGCAAAGCATTACTGCATGCCATTTCCAAATTACTGCTTGAGCAAATTGTGTCATGGTGCTCATTTTCTTATAGATTGTGCCCAACTGACCCTACTATACTGTGTAGTTGACAAAACCAAAAACAAACAATGTGCATGAACAAAATTAAAAATATAAAATGGTAACAATTTACCCATCACATCCTGTATGTGTATCAAATCAGATTAAACTTTAGATCAGATAATATTCCTCAAATAAAGTTTCAGTTTTTAAATATTTTATTTTTGAAAGATTTTTTTAAAGAGAATCACATTGTTCTGACAGGGCCAAAGGAAGAATGAGGCAAAATCCTTGTTTTGTGTCCTGAAACTGATGATCCTTATGTCTGCAATGATCAGGTTTGGCTGCTTAAGCCAACAGTTCTGACTGCTGCTTAGATAGGTTCAAATCATGAGCAAGATCACTCAGGTCTTCCTAGGTGTTCCAGTGGTATTTGCTGCCACTTACTCCTGAATAAACAGAGACATTGTCTTCAGAAGAGAACAACTTTGCAGAATTTTCCTCTGAAGTCAATTTTTCATATGATGAAGGAATAAAATATTTATGTGCTGAGGGTGTAAGGACAAGGAGATCATCTGAGTGATGAACAGGCCTCATAACTGAAGGAAGCTTGGAATATTTGATTTTTTGTGGGGAGAAGCATTGAAACCACTTGTATTTCTTACAAAATAACTAATAACTTACCTGAGAATATTTGTCACTATCACAAATAAAACTGAAGAGGATTCCTAAACTCTTTACTACAGCCTCTCGTACAGCATCTTCTTTATCCTCATTCAGCATCTGCTGCAACATGGACAACACAAGAGAACTGCGAATTTCATTCTGTAGAAGAAAAAAAAAAAAAAAAAGAAAACCTTAAATATAAAAATAAGATCAGTATGGAATCAGTCATTCAGTAAAAACAAACCTAACATTTTTCAACTAACTCATAAATTTTTCCCAAAATTAAGAGGAGGAGCACATGAAGGAAAAACCAAGTTTACAACTCTTCCAAATAAGATTGAGACTCTCATACGAATATCATACATGGCATCCAATTTGTCATTCAGAAATGTCTAAACTATTAGCTATATACATTATATGTAATGGATTTAAAACAATTCAAGAACAGCAGGAAGATGAGATGGCGATAACCTTTAGAAAGGCTTTATTCAACAAAAGAAACAAAACTATTGGTGTCCCTCCACATCAATCTCCACCCCAAAATCCAGCAGCATATATAAAAGATAAAGTATGTTCCTTTGCATACAACAATTTGCATACAAGCACAAAGAGTTCGTTTCATAAAATGGACGTCATGCATGGCATCCAATTTGTCATTCAGAAAGGTCTAAACTATCAACTATATACAAACATTTTCTCAGATTGAAGATTAAAAAGGACTTCAAGCTAATGAATCCACTCAGTTTTAAAGACTATCTTTTATCAAAACTCATGGATTAGTACTACAGAATCATAAACTAAGAACCTTATCAAATAACAAAAACTACATCATTTGAAGACTCAACAACAACAACTAAAATGGCTAATACAACTTGAAGAGAAAATAATGACATCATCAACACTACCTTTCCACACGACCTTATACAAAATGCTAGGAAGAACCTCCATCTATATGAGAAAGAGTGATAACAGTGAACTTGAGAAACTTATTTTCCTAAAACACTGTTTTAAGAGAAAGATTTTATAAATTTCAATGCTGTTTGGTTAATGAATGCCAAATGTTTCCTGTATAAAAATTGCTAACCTCACTATCACCATCTCAAGAAAATATAGACAAGTTCAGAATGAAGAATTTTAATACCTTCTAAAGTTTTCTGTTAGGTGTGAAAATAATTGCTGTTGATGTTATTTTGAACTTTAAAGCTTATTTTGGAATAAATTATTTTTAATTATGTTCATTTAATCTGCCACAATTTAATCTGCACAAATTTTGTTCTATTAATGTTTGTTTTTACTTTTCAATGTTGTTGTTACATCCTAAATGAAGTTTAAATCTCACCATGATTCATGGCGATTTGTATCACCACTAAAAATAGAACAGTTGGTGGGTTGTTATATAAGGTTGCCAACTCCCTGCAGCTCAGAATTAGTAAGACGCAGGTCATGTGAACAAGGAATTAAGCTTTCTAGGCCAATCAGAAGGCAATGCAGATTGATAGAGTAAATGTTCCTGCTATACTTCCAAGAACATGTAAATGCTGTAAATTCTACATTCAGCTCATTCTTCTAGTACCCACCCCCCATGCACACATCTGCTACATGTAATAGTTTATATCCTTACCTACTGGTCAACCACAAATAAAGCTTTTGTCCTGTACCTCATTGAGACCACATAACTACATCTCTCTCACACACAAACAACAGTCTACAGATGCACTATGACAAACAAGTCAATTCTTTGAACACTTCACAAAAATGGACATTCAATTAACATAAACTTCAATTGCACACTGCATTATTAATATTACTTCCCTTTCTACTGCATTCTTTTTCAAAGCTTCTCAATTGCAGTAAGCTCGTTGTTAATTTCACTCAAAGATGTTTTCTATTGCCATAGTAGGATATGAAAAAACAACTATGAAATTCAAAGAAATTCAAATTCAGGGATCAGAGTCACCTTCAATGGCAGGATAAGCTTTTCATATAGCAAATGAAATCACATGCAGAGTGATAAAGATTAACCTTCCATTCCAAAAGCTTATGCGCATTTCAGCATATAAATTTGATTAACTCCATTGCTGTTTTTTTTTTACTGTCTGTCCTGCCCTTTTTTGATCAACAATACTACTGTTGTCTAGCAAATTTCTTTCTTTCTCTTTTCTTACCTTCCTTCCTTCCTTTATTATACACAATAACTTCATCAAAGTAAAGATGAAAAAAAGCCACTTCAAACAATTTTAATTTAACAAATTCATAATTTAACAGCAGAAATGATTCCCGATATCAACCAAACATTTGACCAGGAGATCATCAACAAACAGAGCTCAATATTGATTCCAAAAATTTCCTAACAAAGATGAGAGTTTTGAAGATGAGGAGGGTTGTGGACATCATTCTGTGATTGATGACAATCAGGTGAGAATCATTAGAGTGGACCCATGCAAAACAACTCAAAAGGTTACAGAATTAAACGTTATCCATTCAACGACTGTTCAATATTTGCACCAAATTAAAAAAATCTAAAGCTCAACAAATGGTGTCACCCAAGTTGAACAAAAAAAAAAACAGAAATTCATCATTACAAAGTCTTTTCTGATCTTCTTTTGCACAACAAAACATTCCATTTTGAAATCCTACTGTGTCATTGAATTCTATACAACAGCCATAAGAATTTCATGAAGTGGATGGATCAAAATGAAGCACATTTCAAAGTTTTAAACAAATCCAAAGTTTATGTACTGTTTGATGGTTTGCAAGTGGAATCATCCACTCCAACTTCTTGAATTCTGGTGAAACTTACAGCAAAATATTATTGCTAAGAAGTAACAAAATGCATCAAGAATGGCAAGCTTCATGTCAACTGAAAAGACTAATTCTTCTCCATGACAATGACCAATGACATGTATCAAATTACTTTAGAAAAATTGAATAAACTATACTATTAAACTGCCTCACCTAACTTACATCTCTTTCTGACCAACTCTTACTTTTGCAAATCTCTACAATTTCCTTCAAAAGATGGTCATCAACAACCAAGTATGAATGCTTCAAAGGATCAAAATAACTTAAAAGAATTCATCAGTTCCTGAACTGAACAATTCTATTAAGAGTATATATTTCTTCACTACTAGAACAATGTAGATTCTAATGGATCTTATTTATGTTATCCTAAGCCGAGATATACTACTTAAAGTTTATGGTTAAAAACAGCAATTATTATTCTATCAACAAAATATTTTCAGGATATGAAAATCATTTTGTCCAGATCTAGATTAACATTTCAATTTGTATATCACAAACTATTATTCATTATTCACATTTGGATAGTCTTTAAAAATTACAGTTTAAATAATGACTGTTTTTGTGTTTTTTTATTGTGTTTGGGTTTGTAAGTCATTTCCTAAAACTCAAAAAAACTAAGTGTCTTATTTATATTGTTACAATTCCTATATATATATATATATATATATATATATATATATATGAATAATTAGTAAAATACTTTAAAAACCTATAGTAATAAATTTATTTCAATGAATATAAGCATATTCATCTCATCAGACCAACTTGTATCCATCAAAACACATTTATTACTGACTATGGACTTTTAAGGATTTTCCCTAATTATACTTATAATTTGCTCTGTATCATACATTGAACTCTCATATGGACTGAAAAGTCCTCTTTGGAATAATCCCTACCAATTACATTTTAGTTTTATTTATTTATATAAATAGAATGACCAGCACGCATCTAGAATGTAGCTCATGACCCTTCACTGACCGTCCTCACTTAAACATAGCAGAGAGCAAGACTTATGAACCAATCATAATTATGACCATAAATTTTAATTTTCAGTTAGCCTGAAGTTGGTTATCACTTATATAAACAATCACAATTGAGTCTTTGGCAGACAATGAATATATATATCCAGTTTTATCAGAAGCAATCCTATACCAAAATCTACATGGGACAAACAACATGAGCGATGCACCTGGTTTTAGTTACCTAAGCCAAAATACTGACTCTTAATTCAACCACATGTAAATAGCCTAAAGCTAGAAATGCAATATTTACCACCCTCTCACAATGAATATACATTTCTTTAAAAAAAAAAAAAAAAAAATAACATTGCCATTAAAAAAGAAATTTTATTCTCTCACATTCCATGCAAAAGACAAGCCAGAAAAACTACATTTGTCTTATGCAGCAGCAGAGCTTATATGTACGTTTGTCGAGCATTAATCTTGCTAGAAAATATAAGTTTTAGATCAAAATAAAATTCTTTTCATTTTTCATTCAAAATACTCAAATTTTAGGAATACATTTTCACAACATGGCCCATGTGACAACAACGTGATCATATTTAAATGGAACGCTGATCTTATAACAGATTTCAGTTATCTGTTTGGATTGGTATTGCTTTTATGTCCATTGTCTTTTTCATGTTGAATTGTATATGATCTATGTTAATTATGTTTTATGAATATGTCATGAATATGTCCTGAAGATGGTCTATTAGACCGAAACATCCGATGTTGACATTAAACATTAAAACAGCATAATCGCATATTAGGATTTTTGTTTGTTTTTTCAGTATATTTTTCTTCATACTGTCGGATCTATATCCATATATTTGCTTATATATATATATATATATATATATATATAAAAAAAGGGACATTTTACAAACAATACATCAAATGTGTTGGTTGCCTACTGTAACTAGACTGACCACAATTAAATATCTAGCAGATACCTTGGTCGCAAGTTCATCTAAAGTAAACTTGTACCCTGGCTCTTACAACATTCCATCATTCCTGGCAGATTTTCTATTATCACAGTGTGAAATACCTAGTAACAAAAGTGATGGAAAGAAAAAGACTAAATCAATTTGGCTAGATACAAAAAAAAAAAAAAAAAAAAAATTCTAAATCCCCCAGCATCCATCATTCATGTGTAGTCATATCAACATAACAAATTTAGTCCAATAAAGTCCTGAAGGATGAAACTCATGACAAGTAAACATTTTCCACCATATATATATATATATATATATATATATTGCATGTGCAGTACTTAGTGGAAAGTGCTCAATATGAGTGTTTGATATCAGGTTTGTCTGATCACAAAAGCGTGAAACCCAGGGTTATAAACTTATATCCATATGACTGAGTAATTGAGAACTGTTGAACGACAAGCTAATTCTAAAAACAATGGTCACCTGCATAAATGCGAAGCTCTTCAGTAAAATGAATGGAGCACTTTGGCTGCTTAGCATTTACGTTTGTAAAAAACAATACACTAGATTTGGCTGATTCGTTCTGTCGAGTGAAGATGGCTCAGTAGTAGAAGCTCTGACTGACACCAAAGTTGGGTTTCGATCTGGGCTTGAGGCATTCACAGACAGTACTGTTTTGCTGTATCACAGCAAAACAGTACTGTCTGCAAATGACACACATATATATATATATATATATATATATATACATACACACACACGTACGTACATACATACACACTATAATTCCCATCATCTAAGTTTTTATCTTTTTTGCCAAAATACATCTAATAAAGCCTACAATCATAGGTTACTTTAATTTTATGTCTATTCTTTATTTTCGTTAACATTTTACAAGCAAAATTCTGTTTGTGTTCTTGAAGCTGGAGTGTCTTCAGCAGTGGAACATACAATACATTAAATTTGCTAACAAATTTATAAAAAAAAAAAAAAAAAAATGGAGCTGGAGAAGATCCCAGTTCTTATTCAGCTAACACCAATACTTCCTTTTCCCTATTTTCATCTAAATTCCCAGAATAGTCCAATTTTTATTCAATCTTTTCCAACGATCTTAGCCACAGTTTACTTCATTAGTAAATACTCACAGGAAGATAAGAAGCTAAAGCACCACAGGCTTCTGCTACGAGAAGGCGCCGCTCTGGATATTTGTGACTAATCTGAAAAGACAAAAAAAAAAAATATTGATTTTTTTTTTTATCAGAAAAAAAAACACACACAATAACAAGGGAGATAATTCTAGTGTCTATCATGAAGGGAAATAACACGAAACTAAGTTCATTGCTGGAGTTTAAATTTAAATTCTCCTGCAGCCAAAATCAAAATGCTGATCTGGAATGCCTGCAAAAGTCAACAGATGTTTCACTTTTACTGCAATTCCAGGTCAACTTGATCTATTCTCAAACAAAAAAGAATTTTTTTTCAAAATATTTAAAACATTTGAGACACAAAGGATAATTTAAAAATACTCTCTCAATAAGTCATATTTACTAACCTGTTCCCAGCACTGAGGCAAGAGTTCACTTTCTAACCTTGTGGGACCAACATGTTTGGCAAATGCAACACAACCTCGTAATATCATTTGTCTGTAATTAAAAATATACATGGTAATTACTATTATTTAATTTAATAGAAAATAGGCATTTTTCATCAAAAACACTTTAGTGTTTGAAAGTTAACTTAAAAACCCTTTTTTAATATCTATGATATTACTATAATTTTTAATGCTGGAGAAAAATAGATATAACAAAAATATAAAGAAAGCTGAGAAATATATTTTCTAAGATTTATATATTTTTTAAAGTTTTAGCTGATAATTGTAACTAGTTTGATAGCTGTCACTTCACTGATGGTAAGGTGATAAATGATAAATTGTTTGTCCATTTAAAATACTACATTTGTTAGAAAATATATTCAATTTAAATATAGACAAGGTCATAAAGATCACTCAAAAGGCCACACATTTTGGCTTATACACTTTCCCTATTACCCAAGGATAGTTACCAGACAATTAGCCTTTGCTACAGATTTTCATTCATGATTTTATTGTTCAGCCAGAGTAGGGGCTGTCTAGACTGAGTCACTGTAGTATTCCAATGTCTTATTTCAAAATCTGTACATTAAATGGCATAAGCACATTAAGTCACTCATGCACAACATAGACATATGAAAATATATATATATATATATATATATATATATATATATATATATATATATTACATAGTCATGCAATGTGATACACAGAGAATCAGTTTTTTTTTAATATAGGTTTAAGCTTTTCATGACTTAAATTTTTTTTTTACAAAATTAAATAGTCTTAAATGTTGCAGTAGCAAAGAAATTTGAATTGACATTTAAGATTTTATGCAGATTTCATAAGATTTAGCCAAAATAAGTCTCATCCAATTAATAGAATTCAGCATACAGGGATCTTCATGTTCACCAAAAAACAGGGTGTCAAAAGGATGGCTTTTCCCCATGACACCACTTTTATTTTAACTACTTTCACTCTTTGGCAATGTTTATTGTTTTTAAAAAGTGATGATTAGAATTGGAATAAAAACTAAACACATGATGAAAGTGAATTCATACATTTTTTGTTCTTGAGAATGGACAACAAAAATAATAAATACTATTTATTTATATTGTTTATTGGAATGGTTGGCAAAACATTGGCTAATTGCCAATTGATTCAAACTTTATAAAATGATAAATAATAAGGATTTACTTATAGTTCACATATTTTAATAATTTAGTAATAAATGTTTATAAATTTATGAATAAAAAACTGTTTTCATACTTATTTCTTTATAAAAAATACATAAATTCACTTTCATCATATATTTAAGTTTCATTCTAATTCTAATCATCACTTTTTAAAACAATAAACATTGCCAAAACGTGAGGGTAGTTAAAATAAAAGCAGTGTCATGGGAAAAACCGTCCTTTTGACATTGTTTTTTTTTTTTTTGGGCATGAAAGTTCATGTTTGCCTACAATTCATTTCATTTATTTCTTAAGAGTTTATTAATGCAGAGTTTGTCCAGAATGAACTGTAATTATGTGTTAACCAATATAATGAAAGGAAGAAAATTTGAGCTACTATTTAATGTAGTCTGTGAACAACTCAGTTTGTGTTTGAAAGGGTACAGAAATAAAATGAAAATGAGACATCATGATCTGAACACTAAGGAGAGTAATGAAAGTGACAAAAGTTCAAAGTGAACAGACAATAAAAAAATCTTTGACTGAGTCAATCTGTAGAATTTAGCAAAAAGATATTTTTTTTTTATACTTTTTATTTCAATCTTTCAACCCCAAAAGAATTAAGTCTGAAACTTTGGATGAAGCAGCACAGGGCAAAAGGCTATCAGTATATTCAATAAAATCTGTTAGACAATTATCAAAGTTTACTTAAAAAAATAAAGCTGACCAGAAATTACCATAGATAATATAAATCAGAAATTTAAAGATAATGCAGCTGTTTATGCAAATATATTCCCAAGTAAAAAAAAAAAAATAAATAAAAATATTTTACTCTTCTGGTTTCAATTTGTTACATCATTTATTACACAAATATTTCAATTAAACCAGGGAAACAATTTGGAAGTAAAAGAAAAATGTAGTTTTCCACCTTTCCTTTCCTTCAAATATTTGACTAACAACCTAATGCCAATTAACCCTCAAACAAAGTCCATAATATTTTTTGCAACAAACACACTTTAAAAGCAGACATAATAAAAAAATTACAGAAAATATTAATAAAACTAAGATAAAAAAAGATTTTTTCCTTCACACACACACATGTATAATTTTAAATATTTTTATCAAGATTTTGTTTCTTAGCCCTTAAACCTTTGTTTTTAATTTCTTCAAATATCAGAATGCAAATAATTTAATATCACCAAACTTCTATCTTTAATTTAATCATTTTTTTCCTTGCATCAGTATGGCTGATGATAACCTCAAGCAGAATAAATCATTGTGCCTTCTCAGTCTAATTTTTTTCACTGATATGAAGTGGAGTAATTGAATCAACTACCAGGTTTGCTGCTAGAAAAGTTAGTTCACTGTCATTTTTTTTTTTTTTTTTAAGCATTACGCCCTGAGCAAGGCGTGAAGCCACTAGCATGCAGGGGGTTGCAGAAGATTTGGAACAAGAGCAGATAGGAGTGATAGAAGAAAGGATGAGGAGAGGGATAGTGGATAGATCAAGGTAACTGGAGATGTGGATTGACATTACATTTGAATAGTTGGAGATTATAGCTCTCGGGGAAACAGTAATTGGGAAGAGTGTTCCACAGGCGAGAGGTGTGAGGTATGAAGCTATTGGAGTAGAAGAGACGGCTACATTTAAAAGTATAAGGGTGGGAGCGGGATGCCATCCTCGTAGGGCGCTTGAATTCATGGAGTCTGGGAACCAGTGAAAGCAGCTCATCGGAGCAATTACCATGAAAGTATTTGTAGAAAAGACAGAGAGAGGCGACGATGCGTCTGTGAGAGAGTGACTGTAGACGAGACGCCAGATCAGGGTCAATTATATTACATATCCATCTCTGGATCTTGTCAAGAACTCCGAGGTAAACAGAAGATGCCCCAGACCATATATGGCGGCAATACTTCATGCAAGGGCGAATGGTTGATTTGTATATTTGAAGTATCGATTCCAGGGAGAAAAATTTCCTGGCGCGGCACAGAGAGCCAACTTTCCTCACAGTGGAAGAAGCAATTGACTCAATGTATTTGTTCCATCTCAGGTCAGCTGTCAATGTGAGACTGAGCAGATGCAGGGAGTTGCTCTCAAGAAGTTGACTATCAGACATTCTAACGGGGGGCAGGTGATTAATAGAGAGTAGTTTAGTTTTTGAGGCGTTAAAGTTAACCAGCCAATTCTTGCCCCAATTAACAACTGATTGGAGGTCCATTTCAAGATGCACGGCCAGGTTAGTTTTGTCACCGACACTAGACTTGTTTTTGAGGCAGGGTAAATCGTAGTGTCGTCCACGTAGATGCCAACTTGGGAATCTATGGCGTCAGGAAGGTCGTTGATGAAAATAATGAATAGAGTGGGGCCAAGGATGGAAGTCTTGGGGAACACCTGCGTTCGTGGGATAGGAACTGGAGGAGAATCCGTTGAGAACGACCTTCAATTCACGGTTTGACAGGAATGATTGTATTAGGTCAAACAATCGACCTGTAATACCATAACCCTGAAGCTTACGAAGAAGGTCAGCATGTCAAACCCTACCAAATGCTTTGGAGATATCTAGGGCCACGGCACGAGGCTCACTGTTATTTTGAAGGGCTTGGTAGACGGTTTCAGTGATGGCCGTAAGCACATCAGCTGTAGATCGGGTCATGCTAGACAATTTTTCATGCCAGAATATCGTACACATTCATAAGTCTACTATCTGTCTGTACAGTGAGTATTACTACATCTGGTCTGGTGCCTTTTAGGGATTCTTGACAAAATCTAAAGAAGAATCTGAAATGTTATCTGTCCTGACATCTCAACTTCAGTCAATTTCCCACCACTGTAACACAGGTTACTCTGTGTTTTTTTCTAGAAATATTTTCATAGCAATTGTTCAGATGAGCTTTGTTCTTTCATATCTCAACTTCATGAATTTAAACACAATACTAGTTTGGCAGCTAGGACTCATCATTTTATAGTTGAAATTGCTAGATGTAACCTTGAGTTCTATGCCAATAGTTTCTTCTCTCACATTTCTTGCCTATTCTTTTATTGTCCTCTCTCCTCAATAACATTTTCTCAGTTTCTTTCACTCTCAATAACCCATTGCATCTTTGTGACTTTGCCTTGCTTGATTAAAAAAATTCTATATAAAAAAAAAGTCAAAAATTAAAAAAAAGTCAAACCATTGCAAACCTGATTTGATGCAAACAAAGAACAAATTAATTTTTCAATCTTTTCTGGTTGCATTCATACCAGCTGTTTTGTACCCCTTTATTTTCTTTTTTTTTTTTCAACACATACCATGATTATTTTTTTTTTTAATCATTTCACCCTAAGCAAGGCAATAAAGCCATTAAGACAGAAGGGGGTTCCTGAGTATGAAAGAATAAAAGAAAAAGAAATTAAAGAGAGAGAACAATACTGGAAAGTAAGAGGCTGGAAGAGAGATCCACAAGCCAGAAGGGCAAGAGAAGAAACTGTTAGCATAGAACTTACAGTTACATCTAATCAATTCAACTGTTAAATGATGAAATTGATAACCTTATCTAGTACTGTGCTTAAATTCACAAAGTTGAACTACCAATAAAGAAAGCTCATCAAAACAATTGCTATGAAAATATTTATATAAAAGACACAGGGCAACTATGTTACAGTGGTGGGAAAGTGACTGAAGCCAAGGTGTAAGGTCAGGACCAATAACATTGCAGATTTTTCTTTGTATTTTATCAAGAATCTCTAAATACACAGCAGAAACACCAGATCAGATGTGATAGCAATATTCAATGCAATTGAAAATTGTAGACTAATAAATAATCTTCAAGATTTAATTTTAGTACCTATTAAAACTATGGTCTGAAATACATAGAAATACTAATTCCACTTGATGAAGTCAAGCTATCCTAAATATCAGTGACAAGGTGAACTCTTTTATATATTTGATATTGCTAACAATGTTCAGCTGATCCATTCTTCAGGTATAATTTTGTAAGAAGAAAGAGTTAAACAAAATTGCTTGTAATGTTAATGAATCTTCTCAAAGTTATGATCAATCTCTTCTGTTACATTAATACCAAATAAATATTTCATTATTCCCAGCATTGTAAATTAAAATATATGTACATCTCTAGTGATTTTTTTTCTTGTAACATACTAAGCTACAGTTATGCAGTCACGAAATTCATAATTTTCTAACTATGTGTATGCATTTCAGAGCATACTAATGCAGTATCTACCACTACTGACTGATCAAATGACTATAACCTTTTGTTTCATTTACAACAATGATTAACTCCCTCAATTCAAAATAGAACTATTATCAATGTAGAAAGAATTGCACTAAAGAAATTACAATGTTCTTTCATGGGTAACAAATTATAAATAAGCAAATATCATCAAACAAGGTCTCCAGAAATTGAAATTCTACAATGTAAATTAACATTGTAGAATTTCAATTTTTGTGTTCAATTTTTTTTTTTTTTAATTTTTTAAAATCATCCCAAGCAGAGAAATAAATCCATTAAGACTCAAGGGGTTACTGAGGATTAACAACTGAGTTAGAGAAATTAATATAACATTACTGAAGAGATTGATTCATTTTCTATGACTTATCAATCATTTGCAGGTTATTTAAAGTCAGAACATATTTTGGGGAGAATATAATGGTTTAATGATACAAGTCTTACTAATTAACCCATAGCTGGAAAGAGAAGAGGTGAATTCATACCTTTCCAAAGGGTATGTTATAAAATAAAATATCTCGGCTGATTTACAGGCAAATACTCAAGAGCGAGAACCGGATGTAAACAGGACAAAGCCCCGTCACAAAATGATCATCATCTTTCTTCACAAATGTTCCCAACACACGTGTTCCGGTTGAAAAATAAAATAATATTTAAAGTGCTCTATTTTTCGTCCAATAAAAATGCTTCCCTCCTAATTATACTCGCTTTGTTTTTCGAGCCTGTTAAGCCATAAAAAAACACTATAAAAGGGGTCACATGGAAGTTCAACAGCAGACCACGGGTGGCCGCAAACAGACCTGTCACGGTCAGGCCGAGCGATCAGCAGCAGGAGAGCATCACCCACCGTCAACATGTGTGAACTACTATGAGAGATCGACCTAGATCCGAAACCGGCTTATGAACTTTACCACAAGGTAGCTGTCCCAAACCCACATGTTCCTGTTGAAATAAACCACGTAAATCTATTCCTGCTGTTGTCGTATTTCTTTCTTGCAACCATACGCTTGTCTATAACAGGTATTTGCATATAAGTGAATATAAAGAACACAATGGGAATTGGGCTCTATGCTTTCTGAGGAGAAAGAACAATAAAAAGAACAGGATTCAAGGAGACAGATGATGACAATTAACATTGCATTTAAATTTTTGAAGATTGTAATTGACAGGAAAGCAAGAAGCTAGAAGAGAGTTCCATAGGTGAAATGATCCTCAGGCATATCATATTGATCAAATCATGTAAGGTAAGAATCAAATCAAAGAAATTTCCCATTTTTAGTCAAGCTCAATCCACAATGACATTTGGTATCTCAAATATAAAAAAATGAGATAGTAATGATTCACTGCATAATCTCAACTCCACTTATTCCAATAAAAACAAAAATTATCATAAGAAAAGGTGTTTATTACCTTTGTTCATCATCAGGTTTCTTGATGAGATTAAAAAGGATGTTCAGAAGTTTATCCCGCTCCTTGACATCTGGATGAAGCATCGTTGTGCACAAAATCAGTGGGATTAACTCCTGTTTATCAAAGACAAAATAATGAAGAAGAAAAAAATAACATTCAGGGCATGAAGGTAGTTAAAATTAAACATAAAGTCAGGTTTTAATTAAAGAAAATCTCCTTACCTCTCTCCTTGCTAGTAGCACATGGGGAACAATATGCGGTAGACATCGTGCCAACATCAAAACAATGTTTTCAGGCTTGGAGTCAGAGATTTTAGAAACCTATTCAAGAATGGAACCATGAAATTATTTTCAAAACTTAATTGACCAATTTATAATCAAATTGAGGAATATGATATTTTCACTTTAACATTTTAATACTTACATATGTACATAATTGATATATAAATGAACTATTTTTTATCAAATCAAATGTTGAGCTGAGATTGTGGCTATGTGTCAGTTAATTAGGTTCTTAAAATAAAATAGTAGACAAAATGAAAATTGTCTTGAGATTAGCAAAATTTAAACTAGTAATTTACAATTTACTTTGAATTTAATATTTTACAAATAAAAAAATTTCTACAGTTCTAAAATTAAGTATTCAGAGATTGTCTCATCACATTTGGTTTCCTCTGCTTAAACTAAAAAAAAATTCATTTTACAGTACCAGATTTTAGCAAGATCTAACAAGGCAAAATGTAATCTGTCAGTGAATTGACCAATTTAGAACTTGACTTTACATCATTTTTAAAAAACTTAAAATCAAAAAAAAAATCCAATATACAAAAAATAAGAGAAAATCCAGAAGAGGAAATCACTTATAGAATGTCACACAAGAAATAAATTTAAATAAATAATTTTTTTTTTTACCAACCTCTAACACTATTCTGTGGTCTTTTGTTAAACTTAAAGTTGTATCAATCAAGGCATTCCAGAAAGAGGCTGGAATATTTCTGGAAAAATAGTTTGCATCATTAGAATCATAATTAAAGATTTTTTTTAAAATTAAAAAAAAAAAAAACATAGACAGCAAACATTCTTTAATATAAATCAATTCACTGTAAACAAACTGTTTGAACACCCAGACAATCTTATTTATATTTAAATATTCATAAACAATGCTCGCTTGTTTTTTTTAAAAAATACTTATTTTTATTCAAAAAGAAACCAATACTAATTATTAAATTAGCTTAATTATTAAATATTCTGTGTTGTTAAATTTTTACTCTATTTGCTAAGAAGGCACTTTTTTCCTAAAATCAAAGTGGGATTATCTAAATACACTAAAATTCTAAATAGGTAACCAAACACTTTAGGCTCAAGTTGTACAGCTTAAGATGGGCTGGGATGTGTTATAATTAGTATTCCAGAAGATAGAATAAAAAAGGACTACTAATGCATGCCATACAGATTGATAAAAAAGTATTATATATATTTTTTTTTACACAGGCAATGGTACCCAGTATTGCATAGGTCAAATTCTTTTCTTCTGCTCTGCTCCTCACGACAGTTATATCTTTGAAAGAATTGTATATGGCATAAAATAGTATGACTGCACTTGTCATAATTAAAACAGTTAAAACATTTCAATAGTCATTTATTTTATATACAGCATGTTACATTTTTCAAATATAGAATTAAAAAATATTAACATTGTATATTTTCATTTTTACTTCCAAGGTGTGATCTAAATGCTAAGCTGGTTACCACTTTCAGGGCAAAAATAGGTTCATCTGAATAAATAATAAGCAATTATAAAAACCATCGATAAAATCACTTATTTATAAAGATCACAGAAGATGAGACTGAAAATGAATAATAACATTCATTTTTAAAAATCATATTTTTAAAGTTGAATAATCACTTTAGTTAACTCCATTAAGCAAAACCTGCTAAATTACGCAATACTGGTAGATATAAATAAGAAAACTGTTTTGTTGATGTCAAAGTTTTATGCAATTCACAAATATGAACAGACAACCAATTTGTTATATATATATATATATACAAAATTTTCAGGATTTGATTTTGAGGAGATACATAAACAAGCTTAGAGCTTTATTTGAATCAATATATAAATAAATGTATTAGATGAATGGCAAAATATTTCTGATTAACATTTTTATGAAAAATATTACATTATAAAAATGTTTACTTATTTAAAGAATGACTGGTTTGTTATTAAATTTTGAAAGCATTTATTTAACAGCAACTCTAATTCATTCCAAAACCACATTGTTAAAATGCATCTTTAAAATGCTTTTAATTAAAAAAAATACAAATAAGAAAATTGCAAAAAATATTTATATCTATTTTGTTATCTCATTTTTGTGCTTGAAAACAAAGATGAAAACTTCACCTTTGTTCCTGATTGTCATTAAATGCTATTCGTTGTTCAGATGCTTCATTTATGCCTTCTAATGCACTATTCACTGTATTTTCAACTTCAGCACAATTCTTTGAAAGACTTTCAGCTGCAACTTGCTGGTAAACTTGTTGATTAGCTTCATTGTTTGTAGTGTTGTTGTTATTTTCAGAAGATACATTCTGTCTCCTAAAAACAAAATAAGTACAATTAAGTAACAAGATTATTCAAGGCAACATAATTAAAATGCAAGCATACTCCAAAATTAAGTTTTTGACACAGAATTCTAAAAATTTATTTCTTAATCATCATTTCACAAAATATGAAATCTTGATTTTATCCATGCATCAAATATTGCTACCACATATTGTCTGGCACTTCTGTTATGTCTAAAGATTCTTGACAAAATCCAAAGAAGAATCAACAATGCTATTGGTCCTGACCAGGCATTTCAGCTTCAGTCACTTTTCCACTACCATAACCTAATTTTCTTTTGTGTCCTCTATAAATATTTTCATAGTAATTTTCTGATGAGTTTTCCTCATTGGTTACCTCAAATTTAAGTACTGTAATAGATTGGCAGCTCGGTCTCATAATTGTAACTGTAAATTTTTGTTAATTCTTTCTTCTCTCGCACTTCTCACTCGTGGAACTATCTTCTGGCTTCTTAGTCAAGTAAGATTTTCAAACATTTAAATGCAATGTGTTACATACTAACACAGCCCAAACCCTAACCACACACACTTTACACAGTGAACCACCTCTCTTTCCACCTCTCTATAATATAGTACACTCACTCACCTTCTTTCTTAAAATCTGTCATAGTAGTTGCTGAGTACAAGAACAATTAAGTCAGACAGGCTGATGACCTTGGTAACAGGTCTAAGCAAGATCTAAAAATAGCTTCTCACACACATGCACAATCATGTGTCCAAATATGAAATGTTGAGCAGGAAAATATCAGAAGAAATTAGTTGGAACACAGATCTTAAGTGAGTAACATCTCTTTTTACTTGTTACCATCAAGCAAAGGAAATCACACAATGAAGACTAGTTCCAATTCAACTCAACAGCCTAATGTGCATATATCAAATGAACAGGTGAATTACTAAGCATGATAATCAGCTAAGGCTAATGTGTTACCCACTCAATTGGATGCAGGCTATGACTTATACAGTGCCAAATCTTTCTACCTGAATGATGAATTCTACATTGCTGAATATGTGAAGAAGAGAGTAAATGACCAACCCTTGTGGTCAAAACTCATAACAGTGTAGAAAAAATAATATATTAAAAGATATTGATACACAGGTAAAATGAACTGGACTGAAAGTAAAAAGAACAAAAAAAAAAATAAATAAATAAAGACAGAGAAAAAAGGGAAAAGCCTATTTTATTTTAGGTGAATGACTAAAGCTAAATGTACTTTGATTTTTTATAGCAGATATATAACGTATACCTCTTTCCATACAGAAATGTATAGCAAACATCTTTCCACACACTACCTTGCATTAATGATTTCATGTATCATCTTGTTATAATTATATATTGGTGTTTGTTGTTTGTTACTGTTGGTTTTTCCTCCTCGTTTGTTTTATTTAACCCTGTAAGAGAATCCATCCACTATAGAACAGTAAACCTTGGTCATATCCTTAGATAACCAATTGTTCTTTTTTTTTTAATCTTTTCTTTTTAAATTTTGTGTTGTGGCAATTGGTCCATAACAAATGTTAATCATCATCTTCTGTCTTCTTGAACCCTGTTCTTTTATTGTTCTCACAGTTTCTTTCACTCTCAGTAACTTCTTGCATCTTACTGGCTTTTACTGCCTTATCTTATTAAGTATTATTAAAGAAAAGTATAAGATTTCTCAAATATTCAAGCTGGTAGATGAAAATATACTGTTTAATAAATAAATAGAGCATCTATCCAAATCTGAGTACCCACTAAAAATGTTTAAAGTGATAAAATCTGTCAGATTAATAAATGAAAAATCCATTACTTCTTTAGAAAATTGCTTTGTTTACATTTGGATATGAAACTGAGTAGATATGAAATTTCGGGATTCTATGATGAGAAAGATTTTGCTTAAAGGTTGTTCATGTCCGAGTAAGTTAAAGCACATAGCATCTAATGACAGTTCCCTCTACCAAGGGAGACAGAAATTCAAATCCTGTCAGAGAGTGCATATTTTTCTTTAATAAGATTTCTCTAATATTCAGGCCAATAGATGAATATAAATACTGTTATTTATTAAACAGTATTTATATAAGTGGAGTGTCTACTCAAATATGAGTATCGACTAAAAATAACATTTAAAGTGATACAAATCTGTCAGAATAATAAATGAAAAAGAAAAAAATGTATATATACACACACACTTTTTACAATGTTTAAAAAGATTGAATACTCACTAAATATAATATTAAAGTAATAAGAAATAATGTCGGATTATAAATAAAATCCTTTAATTCTTTAGAAAGTACTTTATAATAATTTAGAAGATATGAGCTTTGATAGATCAAAACAAGAGATGTGCCTTTCTTCAATTGGTCAATTGAACTTTGCTTGGCTGTGAAAGTTTTCCATAACTGAGCAGTATAAAAGCTTACCAGGCTTTACAGTGAGGATGACATAGGTCCAAACCCTGCTGGAAAGTATATTGTCTTTATTAGACTCTCAAATGCACAGGCCAGTTGATATAAATTTACAGTTTAAAAAAAAAAAAAAAAAAAAAAAAAAAACGGGAATGTCTACTCAAATATGTGTATCCACTACATATAACATCTAAAGTAATAAGAAATATGTATGGCTGGCCACTTATATCTGAGGATGCCTATCTACTAGGGTGGCTAGCCAATCCTTGTTGCAGACGCCTGCTCAGACACATTTGTGTTTGTTCAACACCCAAAGAGCCCACCTGTGATTTATACTGCAACTATGCTGAGTGAACCTTAGTTACAGTTTCTGGGAGAGAGCGCATTATCTAGCATGATCAACAGACTGAACAAGGCCAGCACACACAAACCCTCAGTCACATTTATTTGTGACTTTGTGTTAGCACAACCATCGATGGCTCCCAAAGAGTTCCATCTACCCAATTTCACTCACAAGTCTTGGGTTAATCTGTGGTATGGTTTTTAGGCACTTTACAAAATTGCCTCCTCCTGACTAAAGTCACCTTTGTGACAAATCGCCCAGGTCTCATGGTCAGAAAGCGAATGTTCCAACCCATGTGTGTATATATATATATATATATATATATATATATACACACACACACACACAGAGGTGAAAGAGAGAAAGACTCATCATGTGCTGTTATTAAAGTATTTAGACCCTCTTTAGATGCTTAGTAATAGTTAGTAACATAAAATATATGGAATTGCTAGAATTTATGAGGTTAATCATTATCATTATTCCATGAATTGTTTTGACAAATACTCCCATTCCTGTTATTTTTATCACTGTTGTGGATGATGCATTCTTTGATCTTTTTTCTAACTTAAAAATATTTAAAATGAAAGTGCAGATATTCAAAATAATCCACGTTTGCTACATACCAATCATTGAGCTGTGCCATCAGTTCATCTTTCTGTTTATTTATTTCAATGATGTCATTTTCCAATTCAAATATCCTGCTCTCCTACAAGATAAAATTGCATCATTATTCATTTTGAAAAGATTCAAAATAAAGATCTCTGGAAACATAAGAAAATGTCCACCAATGAAAATAAAACAAATAGCTATACATCTTGGATAAAAGTATCTTTATTATTACACTGGTTTTGTTTATGCATCAGTGATCTGTAATTTAACTTGAAAATTCAAGATATTATCATCTCATTTTCAGTAGAAATGATTATGGTTTTATTTTTCTGTATTTATATTTTTACATTTATATCCGATTTGTAATGTTCATAAATTCTTTTGTAATAAAAAAGTGATATTTTTCAGCTCAACACAAGTCTTTTTGACTGAGATTAAATATATCTTTAAATAAATAAAAAAAAAAAATCTATAAAATCCATTTATTTTTTTAATGATTCCAGTCAAAATTTGTATATTATTTTAATGTTAGACTAACAAGAAAATTTTTGTTATGATAAAATTATTATCAGACTAGTTTCTTTCAATTTATATTTTTTTAAAAAATTTCATTTGGACGAATAACATTTGTATTAGTCCTGAAATTTGAAAAATAAGAGTTATGTCCCTTTTGCTGTTTAAAGCTTGTTTACTGTTGAAAGCCCCATATAAAATCAAACACGAATATCAATTATTATACAATCCGGTTCAAGATATCCACTAATATACTGGTCAATAATGATTTCTCGAATTCAGAGATAGTATCTTTTCAGTCTCTGTTACTTACTAAGAGATCCCTCTTTCGTTTCCATTTGGTTTGTAAATCAATCAGATGTTCATTTTCCAGATTGACCATACAACCAACATCACAGGTATCCATTGAAGGGAAAACATGGTTACCATAATCCCTGAAAAGATGCAAAAGACTTGGCGGCTTTGGAATATTCAAGCCAACATCATCCCAGTCTTCAAAATCCTGAAAGTATAAACAAAAAACATTAACATTAAATTTAAGAGCTATTAAAATCCATCTATTTACAATTCTCTTTCTTATGCTTAATAATTAAATGTTAAACAAATATTTACAGATTTCACTTTTTTACATTGTAGGAAAACTAACTCTGAATTTTTCTTCTTGATATGCATAAATATTTGGAAGATAAAAATAGTTCTTATTTGAATTTAATATTTTCATCATTCTCTATGGTTGGTTTATCCCAGGGGTCGGCAACTTATTCGACCCCGCGGACCGGATCGTTTTATAATGACAGGTCGCGGGCTGGACAAAAGTCATTAATGAAAAATTAAGGAAAATTACATATGCAGCCCTCTGTCAACCTAAATAAAACCATAATGAAAATAAACATTGAGAAATCAGAAAAACAAAAGAAAATCTAAAATTAAAAAACACCTAACAAAAATTACTTTTCCTCAAGGAACGTCAAAATACTTCAAAGTGAAAAAATCAACCAAAGTGAAATGGATGAAATTATGACATGTAGGTTTGAAACTGTTATTGAAAATTGTTCCACAAACGAACCACACATCAAACAAAAACAAAGCACATATACCCATACATATGAGTACAAATAGTTGCAAACATATACACTTACGTACGTACACACGCGGTATCATCCACACATTCATGAGGCATGTATGTATAATGCGTGTATGTTTAACTGTCTTTAGATTTCTGCTACCTTGCATGTCAGTCCCTCCCTGGCCTCTTTCACTTTATTGTTCCTTTCGCTTCTGTTATCTTTTAATGTAGCCAAGGGTCATAACAAATATGTATCCATTATTTGACATTAAACGTAGGCAACGCAACTTGGTAAAATAAGTCTCATGAAAGATAACTGGCAGATAGTCTAATTCGAAAGCCTCGTCTTTCATGTTAAAAATAGAGTCATTAGTAATCAGGCTCGCAGGCCGGTCAAAAAGCCTTCGCGGACCGGATCTGGCCCACATGTTGCCGACCCTTGGTTTATCCCCATTTTCTTGTCTATTGTTTTTTTGCTGTTCACAATGTTTTTGCTACATATTCTCTAGATGCTTTCGGGGTCTTTCATTCTAAAATGTTATTCCTTAAGGTCAGAGGGTTATGAAGAGAACAACAAATGAGGAAATTAGTTGAAACCAATCAACCTGAAAACTCAAGTCATGTTCTTTTAAATAGCCTTATCAGATCAAGACTTTCATATAGATATCATGCATAGCACCAAACCCATTCCCAAATACCTAAATTGTCAGCTGTATACAACTGCTTTCTAAGATCAATGGTTAAAAATGGCCTTGAGCAAGGGAAGCCTGTAGACCTTGGCTGAAGCTCACCCTTCTCTGAAGCTTGTGGACTGATGCTACAGAATCACAAACAAAGAACTCTACCAGATAACAAAAACCACATCACTTGAGGACTTTCAACAACAGCAACAGCAAAAATGGATAGCACATAACGCAAAGAGAAAATAATGACATAATCAAGATGTTGATGTTGCAAACTACTTCAAATAAAAGATTAGAAAGGAAACCGCAATCAAAACTGGATAGAGCAATAACAGCTATTGGACTTGAGAAACCTATTTTCCTGAAAAATTGTTTTAAGAGACATTTTACATTTCAAGTTTTAAGACATTTTTTACATTTCAACTGAAAGCCATACTGGTTGCTCGGTCAATAAAATGCTGAATGTTTCTTTGTCATGAAAACAACTAATATTATCATTAACATTACTAATCCCTATAAAGATAGTATTGCAATGTGAACTGTAAAATGTTTTTGTATTATTTAGATTATTTTCTAAATAATACAAAAACATTTTTGATGAAATATTGTACAAGTATTCAACAAATTTAACATCATACCATAAAAATTAACCCTTCAGCACCACAAGGAAAAAATACCCTTTAAATTGTCATTGTTAGTTGAGGTGAAATTAAATTAAATAAATTTCAACAAGGTGATATTTTCATGTGTTTGATATATAGCTAATAAATGATTAACATGAAATAAAATATGCTTCTATGTATGCAAAAATAGATGAAAAGAAAGAAGACATTTAAATGTAATTGTGTAAATGATACAAATGTATGTGTGTGTGTGTGTGTGAAAGAGTGGAGTAACCTGGGGGAAAATATCCCCAAGCTGGGAACAGATCCAGTCTTGGTGTTGATACTACAGTAAGCTCAAAGGAGCATGGAGGATTGGGGGGGTTAAGAAAACAAAATGTCACATTTTTTATAGTTCCTACACAGCATCTGAGCAAATCTGGCAAACCAAGTGAGGTTAATTTCTCACTTATACAGTGGTGGAAATAAATATAAGACACACCATGAAATTGTTAATAATTTTCTTATTACTGCACAAATTCCTCTGAACGTTTGTGTGTCGTTCCTGGATCCAATGAGTATTAGTATACATATTCAATTGTGAGATTCATGAGTCCTATTTAAACATTTCATAATTGAATACAGTTACTGAAAAATGTCTAGGAACTCCCCCCTTAATGAAAATGAAAAAGGGAAAATTTCTGCCTATAAACTGGAAGGAAAATCTATAAGTTTCATTGCAAGAGAACTGTCAAGGTCCCGAACAGTTGTGAGAAATCATCTAAAGGACCCTGAATCATATGGCATCAGAAAACGTCTAGGACGTCCAGGTCGTCCATGTAAAATTACAAATGCAGCCAGACATTGACTTTTTTGAGAAACTTCTAAAGGACAATCAAGCTCAAGAGATCTGCAAAAATCTCAGAATTTACCCATCACTCATAGAAGAGTTCATCAACTTTTCCATGAATCGCCAAATCTCATGTATCGAAACAGGAAGACAGCCCTTCCTTTAACTGCTAAACACAAGAAGATGCACATAAATTGGGTAAAGAAAAAAGTAACATGGACGAAGGAGAAATGGGAAACCGTGGCGTTTTCTGATGAGAAAAAGTTTAATTTGGATGGGTCTGATGGCTACCAGCGTTATTGGCATGATTTAAGAAAGGAGAAGCAGCCGTTTTAAAATAGACCATTTGTAGGAGGATCCGTCATAGTTTGGGAAGCTTTTTCTGCATCTGGAAAGGCTGATTTAGTAGTGATGGAAGGGAAATAAAACTGTCCGATATATCAATGTGTTGGAAAAAAGCCTTGTCCCATTTATGAATCGTCTAGACACCAATAATGCTATTTTTCAACAGGACAATGCAGCCATACACACTTCTAAGCTCACGAAAGACTGGTTTAAAACAAAAAATATTGAAGTTTTGAACTGGCCCACTAAGTCTCCAGATAGAAAATTTGTGGGGAATTTTGTTGAGAAGAGTATACAAAAATAAACATCAATTTGAAGATAGAAAAACTTTAAAATCTTGCATTAAGTAGTATTGGAATGAAATTCCATCTGAAACTCTCAAAAAAAACTTATTGATTCAATGCAAAACAGGTGTGCTGAAGTATTACAATTGAAAGGGAATAAATGTAAACATTGAATTTTCTACAATTTTGCTGTTAAATACAAATTTTCAAAACTGTCTTATGTTTATTTCCACCAAAAAAAATGTATTCTTAATAACTTTCCTTTTTCATTTTTTTAGTGGAAAGTCATTATAAAATTGAATATGTATACTAATACTATAGGATCTAGGTACCATACACAAATTTACAGAGGAATTTGTGCAATAAGAAAATTATTAACAATTTCATGGGGTGTCTTATACTTATTTCAACTACTGTATATGAGGGTGGATCAGCAAATATGCTTATACTTAGCTGAATTTTTATATGAAATTTCTGTTGTATAATGTTAAATTTATGATTAATATTTACATCTCAATGCAATAACATGAAGAAAAATATTTGTTGCGTAATAAAATTTTGTTTTTATCTTGAGATTATTAATTATTGATATATCTAAATATATACATGATGAGCAACCAAAGGATTACATTGTCCTTGAAATTTCATCCTTTCAATGATTCCTTCAATATTTTATACATATTCAATGATACTTTAACAAAAAGAAAACAGTTGCATCACAATTACATTGATTACATTATTTTTCATCAATGTATAATAGTGTAAAGCAAAAACGTTAACTTATGAACTACAACTAAAATGAAAATAAAAAATCAACTTTAAAAATGGTTCCAAGTCACTGAAAAATGTTTACAGTCAAATCTAGAAAATTAAAAATTAAATAAATATTAAAAAAAAAACATTTAGCAAGGAAAATGATGAGGGAACAAATGACTTGTATAAATAATGGTTGGATTTGGTTAGAAAAAGGTCAAATGTCAAATTTAAAATGAAGCAAATTTATCATTATCTCTTATTAACTAATTGCTCCATCATGAGTGCCTCTTAATGATTTGTATGTATGTGTCAGAATTTCATATTTTACATAGATTATTAGGTTATAAACATAAGACAAAAGATCAAGTGAAAGTATTTTTCTATCTGAGTTCTCAGGAAATTTTTATTTGATCATAACAGAAATACAAGATATAATAAACACAATACCCACTAAGCAAAAGCATTTAATTACAGCCATCAATTTCAAGAATTGTACCAACATTCTATCAACAAAAAAATAAAAACATTGTAGATGTATGATAGCTTTCACAGTTTATGGCAAAACTGTAGATTTTCTCTGCAGTTTAATGTTAGTAAACTTACTTGGTCTCCATTTTCTTCAGAAAAGGTGACAGATGTCAGTTTGTAATTACTGAGCAATAAATACTCATTGACAAGAAAGTTGAGGGCCTTTTTCTCCAAAGGCTTAATGATTTCCTCTTTGCCATCAGGAATTAGTCCCTCCTGGCCTTGTTCAGGTGAAGCAAGTTCCGTCTCTGCAAATGTGAAAAAGAAGTCAATTTAAACTACAATCAAAGTAAAAAAATAAAAATAAAAAAAAGTTTTTCTCATTTAGGCTTCAAAATTAGTTTTAACAAATGGCTGATTTATAATATTTGAGTCTTTTCTTCTCTCATGTAGAAGGTAAGAAAAATGAAATCAGGTATCATTTGATTTTAAAATTATGTTAATTGCAAAAAATATATTTATAAAAGCTTTCTTGAGAGAGTGATACAAGATGGAAGAGAGGAGGAGAGATACAGGGACGGAGGAGGAGAGATACAGGGACGGAGGAGGAGAGATACAGGGACGGAGGAGGAGAGATACAGGGACGGAGGAGGAGAGATACAGGGACGGAGGAGGAGAGATACAGGGACGGAGGAGGAGAGATACAGGGACGGAGGAGGAGAGATACAGGGACGGAGGAGGAGAGATACAGGGACGGAAATTTTACTTTTTTTTTTTTACATTTACCTGCAGCTTTTGTAAGAGTTGCTCGAAGACCTTTGATAGTTTCATGTGCCTTCCTTAACTCAAATTCAAGAACTGAAAAATACAAAATAATAACTGTAATACTTTGTCTATGAGAGAGTGATGCTCAACAAGTTTGTCAGGCAAATTAATTTACAAATATAATGAATTCAGTCCTCAGCAAGTGACTCACACTGGAGTTCTTGTGTCATACTAAGGTAAGCTTAGTGAATATCAATACTAACTTCAGTGACTATGCCAAAAAGTAAATCAATATAAAATTAATATATAAAAGCATTGTCAATGATTGTTCAAAATATTTACGTGGGACAATTTCTAAAAACTAAAAACCAATAAGCTTTTATAGTTTTAAAATTGAAATTTTATATTTAAAATAAAAACACCCATTAAAATTGTTAACCAGAATTTTTTTTTTGATCATTTGGTACTTGTACCAATTTTTTCCACTTGAAATAAAGAAATTTTAAATCAAACTGCCATTATTTATAACCCATACAAATCATTTATTTTATCTGCAACATTTTTAATATAAATAAACTACATTAAAGAATGATTTTTTTTAAAATTATGTTTGAATATTATTCAAATTTAGATTAAATATTTTCAGTTATTTTTAAATTGTAATTTAACTTTCATTTTAATTTTTGTCTATATTTCTGATATGAGGTATTGTAATTATTTACACTGTTTACATTCTTTGAAATGTTGTCCTCATCTTTTTTGCCATGTTCATGATGTTTTGGCCATTGTACGCTCCAGACGCTTCCTTAAGGACACATGGCCCAGTGGATAAAAATGTTGGTGGATCCAGTGACTTGACCCAAAGAGTTGTCAGTTCAATATCTGGCTAATGCAGTAATGGACAAAATCTTGGAGAGTTGAGTTAAAGGGAAATAACTGAGACATCTGGAAGAGGCATAGCACGTAGAACTAGAACAATCTAATCCCATGGGCAAAATAAAGGGTTCAGTTTGAAATTCTATGCACCTGAAGAAGGTCATAGCATACAACTGCTGAAACATCGTGAATATGGCAAAAAATATGAGGACAACAGTCCAAAGAATGTAAATAGTGTAAATAATCTTAATTTCTGTTGCTTTTTTTATCTTAAATCCCAGATTGTCATTTCCTGCCCATTATTAGTGATCACTTCCTTGGCACTTTTGCCAGGAAAGTTTTAAAAGATATTAAGCTGAAGCCCCAGGGGACCATCTTCCAGGCAGTACCTCTCCTTTGGGAAGGAGACTGGGTTTATTGCCTGGTGCTTGAGATGTCTCCAAAAGTGGGAAATATCAAGAGTGTTTGAGTAATTTTTCCTCGTTATTGCCATTAAACCCACTTTAAACTGACTGTGTCACATTCAGTAGTGACGTGGGTGCATTGAAAAATACATACTTACATCAGAATATAACAATTGAGGAATTACAATAAAAAACAACTTAAATTCAAATAAGAGAAATACTGATCAAAAATTAATTCTAAAACAGTCTCAGTTCCAACTGGTCAAAAAAGCAAAAATTCTTAGGACTATCTATTCATTATCCATCCCAAGGGATGATGATTGTTCTTTTCAAAGAACAACATCTCTCTATGATCCAGCTGCAAGATTCTGACCCAATGAATGACAAATCCAAAATTCAATGCAAGAAATGCTATTCTCACACTGTATAGTAGATGTATGCCTAATTGGATTGACATTTTCCATTCCCTTAGACTGTCTGTCACCTAAGGCTAGACTGACCAGTCTATGCTACTATTTAACCTATATATGTGGGGAAAAGAGATGAATTAATGCCTTTCCCAATGGAATTAATACATAATGAACACAACAGAATTTAAACTTAGTACACAGATTCCAATTTCCATGCTTATAACTGTTATGTTACTTGTGTAGTAATATGGTAAAAATAATATCATAAATATTTACATATTTCATCAGTCAAAACTATGTTCATGATTTTTTCTTTTTTTCTTTTCTTGAAAAAAAAAAAAAAAAAAACGAAAAGAAAACTTGTCAATTCTCGTTTTTTAATTTCACTTTTTCAAATTTGGAATTAATGAAATATTTTTGTCTGATGCAAACAGTTACTCTAATCTTACACCTTCCTGCGTATTCATTATTTTCAAATATCAGTCTAACTTTTCTGAAAAATTGCATTCCATTAGTTTAATAGTTTTAATAGTTTCTGTCTGAATTTCTGGGATGATTAATTATCATTAATTACATTCAGACAAATGTTCTAATCTTTGTTATTATCATCACAACGTTTCAGCCATTGTGCCCTCCAGCTTTCTTTAGGTATCTGTCAGTCTGAATAACCTTCAGGGAAGTTCAAAATGAACACTTTATTTAATCTACAGAGGTAGATTTTTCTCATTTAGCCAACCAGCTAGCTGATTTTGCTCCTTTTTATTACTTTTTGCTTTGTGTCTGTACTACCCAAAACAAAGATTGAACCAAGACCAAAGATTAGAACAAAACAAAATATCCATAGACATGGACAGTAAAATGAGAAAACCCTATTCCAATCATTTAAATATAGGGTCTAGTTTGAAATTACCTGAAGCTTATTTTAAACTTAACGCTTTATTTAAACTATTGGAATAGATTGTTAAAATGCTTTCAGGATATGTCTTTTTTATTTTCTATGGAATATAAATGTTTGCTTCTATAGAACTTACATTAAAATTTAACTGATAACTGATTGAGTACTTTGCCTATTATCAGAGTTATTATTTCATACATCTTTGTTGAGACATTGAGATTTCTGGTGATAGTAATCAAAATAGCCAGATGCATTTCAGCATAAAAAAATAAATTAATAATTTTCTCTAGAAATAAGTAACTCACCTGCCATTCGTTCATCAACTTGCCTTTCTCCATCATCAGAATAACGAGCAAAGTCAAGAGAATCCAAAGTGTGAACACTCGATGTCCTTTCTGAAAAATAAAATCAATACATTGCATAAATTTCTGCATATTAGTTCGTTCAGAAAAGACATGAAGTTTTCCTGATACAAACAACATATACAGATAAAATTTATAGATAACATAAGTATTTAAGGCAATGATTGTTTGAATCTAGCAGCTAGACTCCTTATTAGATACCTATAACAGGGCAGTGGCCCTGACTGAATAATAGTGCATGAAGTATTATTTGGCAACTTGAGGTATTGAGAGACTTATTAATCATGAATGAAGGAGTAGAGATGGAGAAAATATGAGAGAGTGGTTAATCAGGTTGCAACCTGAAGTAAAAGTTTGGTTTAAAAATATTAATTTGGACCTATAAACTACTTGTAAGAAAGGCATCAGAAAGATTTGGCCAAAAAAAAAAAAAAAAAAAAAAAAAAAGAAAAGAGCTCCAAGAAAGTCATGGTGACATGATTAATGTTTGCCAAAATTCTGAAAAACCCAGATGGAATTGGGAAATGTTACTTTAAAAACATTAACAACAAAATCTATATAGAAAGATTACTAAAATATCTGGCCTTGAGTATTTTAGAAGCATAGGTCACCTGCAAAGCTTGTAGAAAGTTCTTTGTTTAACAAAGAGGGTGTTTGTGTGTGTGTCTAATTAATCAAATTCTCCATTCAGACCATTATCCATGTAAGTGCACTCACACACCATTTTACTCAGTTCGTACTTGGCAACCAGGGACAACACTGCCATCCATTTTCATCAAAATTCTAACAGTAGTAAAGTTGGCAACATACCCAAACTTAATCCACTGGATATTCCTCAATGCCTCAAAGGCAGAAAAGAATTTACCAAAGTCAAACAGCATGAGTGTGATGATGACAACATTTAATACTCCCATCATTAATAAATTGTTGATAACAGATTTTGTTCTTTCTGTTAAAAATTTCCTTACTTCAGGAAGGTTGCCCAAATTAAGAAAGTCACTAGGTTCAGAACATTACCTGAACACAAACCAAAATACACCGCCTGCTGGAGTGAATAAGAAGACGTAACATATTTCATCCCAACAGGTACACAATGTAAAGTAAAATGCCCACTAGCTGACACAAATCCACTGAGGAAGATGAATGAATGAAAATAGCCACACCCAATTCATGCATCCTTTACTGAATTGTAATACTGGTAATTGATTACTGGCTAAAGTTTACATTAAACATACAATGACATGACCCTCCCCCTCACACATACACATTACATTTGGGTGCCATTCTAGAATTGTCTTTGAAGCCATGCATGAAAGAGATAGCTCCATGTTATAATGTCCATACTTCATAAAACCAAACTTTTTTTTTTTTTTTTTTTTACTAAAGTTCACCTTATGTAAGGGCCAAGAGCCACTCAAGGTAGCATGTTACTGAAGGAGGTTTGTTGTGTGAATGCTGAAAGAGGTAGAGATGCACTTTATGAGGATATATGAATACGGTAACTGTTAAGCCTAGACTTGAACAGGTGATGATTGTAGTAGTTGGGAAAGCATCCTCTTGTTTATAAAAGCAAGACGATTTGTTGATCTGCACAAAAAGACATAATCAAATTAGACATGTGTTTCATTATTTTTATTATATTTTTATGTGTTATGTCCCTTTAAGACATGGACAATCATAGCTCCCATGATTTCCTATCTCTTGTAGCACTAAGAATTGTTTGTCTTCTTACCATCCCTCCAAATTCCAGTTCTGTCATCCATTTAGAAAAGCTTACTCAATGTATCCCTCTGCCCCTCTTGTTTTCAATATGCTTTGTGAGTGTCAAATTTGCCAAGCCCTTTATCCTTGTTATGAGTCATAGAAATTTCAACTGTCTCTTTCTGATTCTAAGTATAAGCATCCATTTTGTTTCTATTTTCCTTAAGACAGAAAAACAAATTTAATAAATTAGTATCATCAGAACTGTTCATTCTTGATGACAAAATGACCATTTTTTTTTCTAATATTTTTTAGGAATTACTTTCATAATTGCTCTAATTCTTAACCGCATAGTAACTATCAGAAACCTTTGTCAACATGATGAAAATTACTATATAGAGTGATGTTTAGCATATACTTTTTATAAGCCTTTGGTCATGAGCTTTAGGCTAATAAAACATTGAAGATGAGTTTGTGCCATCTTGACTCACTGAAACAGATTTTTTTTTCACATGGGTTCAAAATCATTTAAAAAAATATATCAGCAACTAGAAATGCCACTCCTACATTAGATAATGGTTTAATAAATGAGAAGACACAGTAACACCAAGCTAACCTGATAGTTACCTAAATGTTTTCTTTTGTTGCTCTTAGCTGAAACATATACATCTCAGATTCAAATAGATGAGGTTGTTGAAATAAAAGGGGTGGCTGGAATTTGTCAATTTTTTTTTTTTTTTTTTTTTTACTTATAGTTTTCAATAATTAAATATTTTGGCCAAAGAATGCTTACAGTCTACATTATGGTTTGAGAGGAAATTTCTGAAATATCTTACAAAAGAGATATTTGGTATAAAAAAAAAAAATTGAAATAATTGTTCCTGCCTGTTTATTTATTTGAAACTCAAAGCATTTATCAATCCATAAAAATTTTTTTTTTGTTTATCAATATATTTTTCATATTTGACATCAGTTTGTATAAGGAAAAAAGTTGAAAATGCAGGTAAACTAAGTCTGCTTTTCATTAAAATAGAGTAAAATACTTGAAGTTTTATTAGGGATCAAAAGTTAATAATGCTTCCAAGAAGGCTGTTATCATCTGGACAATATCAGATAACCATACAAACAGTATGCTAATATTCTATCATTGATTACTGATGATAATAAGGCAGATAACAGATTCCAAATAAACTGTACATACATGAGCATGGATCAATAAATACATAGTTTGACATTTAGATATTAACTCAATACTGATCTGCAATCTTCAAGCTATTTTATTCATATTCACCAGTGGATTAAGTGCACTGACAAGGAAGAAGATTATGTAGAAAATATTTCTTATTTAAAATAAATGCTTTTTCATCATTAGGCAAGAGACACACTGATGTACCTATAGATATTCATATATTTTATTTTACCAATAACCAACCAACAGCTCATAGTAGTAGTAGTTACTTCATTAATTTGAAATCTGTGTTTACTTTGTTAGAGATGGTTACATTATAATGGGCATCGTCAACCAAGCAGAGAAGTAGTAGTAACTTGAAACTAGTAGGTATAAGATATTTACTGTCAGCCTTGTACTTATGAGATTTTTTTTTAATCATTTAACCCCAAGCAAAGCGATAAAAGCCATTAAGATGTAAGGGATTATTGAGAGTGAAAGAAACAGAGAGGACAATAAAAAAAACAGGATTCAAGGAAACCAGCATTTAAATTTGAAGATTGTAGTACCAGGAATGCAGGAAGTTGGAAGAGAGTTCCACAAGTAAGAAATGTGGAAGAAGAAACTATTAGCATAGAATTTATGGTTACAAGTAGCAATTTCAAAAGTGCATGACCTTCATGATTCTTATTTGATTCTTGTACTAAGTACTAAAAGAAAAAATTTAAAAAAAAAACAAAGTCTCATAAATAAGACTGTCCTTTTGAAGAACAAATTCCCTTGCCTGACCCTCCCTGAAATGATCAATTAATGTTTTTCCAGGCATTCATGGTTCATAGCAGGCATTCACTGGGTGAGGCTTGATCAATGAGGGTTGGTGTTGCCAAGTTTGATTTCTGGGAAACTTTCCCAAATTTAGCAGCACACACTCAACATTGAGTGACAAAGACTTCTCAACATTGAGTGACAAAAACTTTAGCAACCTCTTAGATGAAAATAAGCACAGAGCCAACATCTCAAATATGTCCAACTGAGCAAGCAAATCTAAGAAACTACTCATATACACATTCCTACATGTACAAGACCATCATATACATGTTTTTTCTGAGACATTGTTTGCTTTCTAGTTTCTCAGCAAATAAATTTTTATTGTTTATTTACTTCTGTTTATTTCAGCCAAAAGCAAGTTCACCTTGTTTGTCTCGCCTCTTTTTTCTTTTTCTCTCTACTTAATTTGTCAGCAGCAATCATGCTACTTTTGACTAATTTTTCTATCAATAACACTAATCTCCAACATAACAGCAGTTGCTTTTTCTCCTTTCTCTACAACATAACAGCCTTGCTTCCTCAAAGTAAGTGGCAACTATCAACCAGCCTCTTACCACAACAATGGATTATTCAATTTAAGAAGGAAGTATCAGAGTTTGTCTTGAATATATGCCAAACATTGCATGTAGAGAAACAAAACAACCACTAAAAGTGCTCTGTCATATAAGTTATAGAAAATTTCTGTTACATTAGGATACTGAAAATTTTTCAACCCAACTTACTTGCCAAAATCTGATCAAACATCAGAATTCTTTTTTTGAAACAATATTGAATCAATTGCTAGGTCTGCTGCTAGGAAAGTTGGTTCACTGTGTTGTGCTAGACAGTTTTTCTCACCAGAATTTATGTTATCATTCGCCCATTATTGAAGAATATTGTTGCCATATCTGGTCTGCTGCTTCTGCTATGTAGTTAGAAAGGTCTAAGGTCTCATCAGTTTACAGTTGAAATGGCTAGATGAAACCTTAACAGTTTTTTCTCTGGCACTTCTTGCTTCTCTATTCCAGCTTTTTTTTCTTTCCAGTCAACTTTGATCTTTCAAAATTTAATTTCAACATCAAATGTTACCTTTTTTTTTCTTTTCTTAATTCCTGTTTTTTTTATTGTTCTCTCTCATTAATAAGGTTTGCTTTTCCTCATATTCTCTCACACTCAGTAACCACTTGTATCTCGGGGTGAAATTATTATAACAAAAAAAAAAAAAAAAAAAAAAAAAAAAAAAATTCTTCTAAGTCTGACCAAGATCTTTCCAG